TTTTTTTTTTTTTTAAGAAAAAAAAATAATAATATAAAATAAAATTTAATTTACGAGTCTAACCATAATATATATTACTAGCTTAATTAAATAGATTGTTTGAAGTATAATATAAAATAAAAATAGGTTTGAATGAAGTATCGACATTGCGCATCACGCAGAGGTGCTAATAAATGTCTTATCGATATCCATCAACTTATTTATTCAGTCGGAGACTTAACAATATCAAACAATGCAGTCTAAACAACTCAGTAACAAAAAACAGCACAGATCAGCGAAGTAATAAAAAAAAAATTTTTTTCTTTTAAAACGTTCCATAAACTGCATAATATAAAAAAAGACTAATTTTTTTTTACTCGGTGCTGACTCGGAAATTTTTTTTACAATCTGCTGTGTTCATTTGAATAGTTATACATCTTTCCTTTTGTAGTCTAGTTGATTTAAATGACGTAAACAAATTTCGTTTTGTGCCATTAGAGTTCTGTGGTTCCCTAGTTTTGATCAAATTTTTTTTTCAATTTAGTCCACTACTTTGCTTATTTTTACTTTTTGCACCCCCCAAAAACTTTCTTTTGCCCACACTTGCTTCTTTTGAAAAAAGGAAAACCAAACTTTAACTGTTCCTTTTGTTGTTGTTGATCCTAAAATTTACTACTCTCTTCGTTCGTCCGTCGGGACAAAAAAAAAAAATATATACATATATTTTATTTAGTTAATCTACAGTAAGTACCCCTTTGCATGGAAATTTGTCAGCGCTATTACTTTTTTTCACCATCCTCAATCTATGGTTCCTCTCCATTAATCTTTTATAAAAAATAAGTACTAAGAATTATTAAAACAACAAACAAGTTTGTTTTAAAACTATTCGTCATAAATTTCCTTATAAATATATTAATATATTAATAAAACTCGTTATTTTTATTTTGAACATTATCTTTATTGACCTTAAAGATTATTTATTTTTATTTTTATTTTTATTTTTTATTTTTCTAAATTCTGTTAACCTTGTCTTTATTACCACACAAAGTACTCTCCATCAGTAAGAAAAGAGTGGAAGAAGAAGGCTTCTTCTTTATAACGTATCTAGTAATTTGAGAAGATGTCGAACATTTATAGCCATAGACAGCTTGTACCAGGTGGTGGAGCTGGGTCAAATCGTGTTAATGAGCTTATTGATGCTCTAAAACAAGAATTTGATAACCTTCAGCAAGAAGCTGCGATGTATAAAATGCAACGTGATGACCTTGAACATAAAGGTGAGATAATGTTAAATTAGAAATTACATCAACATAACTTTATATTTTATTCAAATAGATTGAAGTATTGGAATGGAATTTATTCATGAGATTAAATATCAGATATTGTTAATTTACGCTCTGGGAATTTAAAAGGAGGATGTAATCTTTCAACAATCTTCCTCCTTTTCGGACCTTAATAATGCACGATTTATCAATTTTGCGCTAAATTAAAAAAACTCTGTTTATAATCGGATGTGATGACGTATTAAAGATGATCTGTACAACCAACAAACATTAATTAACAATTACCATAATAGTTTCTTACATTAATAAAATTTTATTCATGGATGTTTTTATTTTTATTATGACAATAGAAGTTTATTCGAACATATCTAAATATGTTGTTATGTCTATTGTTATAATATTTTCATGAGATTGGAATATATTTATTTATACATATATTTTTTATTTTTTATCAATTATCACTATTTCTTGATCGCTGTCCAAAATGATTCAAATTGCTTATTTATTCTATCTCTAATATTTTTAGTGCAGCAACAAACTGATGAGGTTAATCTTATCCGCCAAGGATTATATGATTTACAAGCCACACAGAAAAATATGAAAGTTCAGTGAGTATAAAAATTTTGAAATTGTTGTAAACTAATTATCTTTTTTTTTTGACAGTTTTATGCTAATGAATTGATTACCGACCAATCTCTACCCGTAATTCTAAATATTTGAACTCGCCCCGAATATGACGCCAGATATGATAATGAAATACGCGCTCTTCAGCGTGATATGGATCCACAGAGAATTCATCATTCTTCTAGTTCTCATGCTGCACCACCACCATCACATCCCCAACCACCACCGCCAACTATCGGTCAAGGTCAAAACAATATATTTGGTGCGATTATGAGCGGTGGAGGCGGCGGGAATCAGGTTCTTGTCGCTCCACCTCAAATGATGGATCAACCTCCGCCAGGTGGGCAGTCGGGTCATCCAGGCGGTTATCCCGGTCCAAACGGTCCACCACAAAGTGTTCCTCAGTCTGGCGGTAGTTCCGCACAATCTCCTTATTTGAATGGTAGTGGTCCAGCACCTTTATCACAGCAGCAACATGGACCTAAACGACAGCGAATGGAAGACGGTCCGCCACAGAATATGGGACTTCCACCTAATTCTCAACAACCTCCTTCAAGTTTGTATAATAGTAACGGAATGCCACCACAAGGTCCACCAGGTCAACAATCACTAAGTCAAGGCGGATATATGAATGTCGGTCAAAGTAGTAAACCTGTTAGCAAGATGCCCAAGGTAAATAATTTTCAGAATTTTATTTTCATTGTAATTTATTTTTATTATATCCAACAAATTTTTTATTGTATGATTTGTTTTGAAATTTATGACTTATATAGCCGATGAATTCAATATCGCAGATTCCTCAGAATATTTCCGAAGGACCTCAAAGTTCTGGAGTTCCTCCTACTGGTAATGCACCACCATCTTCTGGTCCTCAATCAAATAAACGTAAAAACAATCCTAATATGGGCGCTCAATTACCGCCCGGTAATCGTACACCTATTAAACAAGGTCCTCTCAGTAGCGCTCAATCTGGACTAGGCGACATGGATCCCGAAAATGTTCCCGCACAGCTAAAAAAGGAAGGCAGCGATTGGTTCGCAATGTACGTTTCTACTTTATAAATTTATTGTTTATTTAAATGGACTTAGCAAAAAGTAAATTCATTCTCACGTGACTTTTTGAACTATATTTATTTAGCTTCAACCCTAAAGTGCAACGCGTACTTGATGTCGAGTTATTCCACACGTTAGATCATAATAGGTAGATTGCCCTTTTTTTTGTTTTGAGTTTCTTATTGCAAAATCGAATTAAATTTACACAGTTACTAATATTTTATACATTTTTTTTTTTAAGTGTCGTTTGCTGTGTAAAATTTAGTGGCGATGGAAAATATCTTGCTACGGGCTGTAATAGAATCGCACAGATTTATGATGTTCATAACGGTCAAAAAATTTGGTAATTCACTTTTATTTTTTTTTTTTCAAAAAAATTTTCATTTATTCCAAATCTGTCATATATATATATAATTTTTTTTTAATAGTGTTTTGGATGACACAAGTGTTGATAAAACTGGTGATTTATACATCCGAAGTGTTTGCTTTAGTCCTGACGGAAAACATTTGGCAACTGGTGCTGAAGACAAACAAATAAGAGTAAGTATATTGACTATTTGATTTGATTGCTCCTACATCCCTGCATTGAGTAAGTAATTTTAAACATCAATGATTACTAATTATCAATTTTAACAGATCTGGGACATTCGTAGTCAAACTATCAGTAAATTATTTCCTGGTCATGAACAAGATATATACTCACTTGATTTTTCACGTGATGGCCGTTTCATTGTTTCTGGGTCAGGTGATAAAACAGCCAGAGTATGGGATATGGTATCCGGGGAACTACTGTATAAACTTGCAATTGATGAACCCAGTCAAAAAGATGCCGGTGTTACCAGTGTCGCCATAAGCCCCGATGCTCTTTATGTTGCTGCAGGTTCATTAGACAAAATAGTGCGTGTATGGGACACACGAACAGGAATTCTTCTTGAAAGATTAGAAGGTCATAAAGATAGTGTTTATTCTGTAGCATTCTCACCCGATGGTAAGACATTGGTATCCGGTAGTTTAGATAAGACTCTAAAATTGTGGGATATGAGCCATTGTGGAAGAAATAACAGTAGTCAAAAGAACCAGGCAAAAACAACGCTTAATGGACACAAGGTATCTTTATTTATTTTTCTATTAGATACTTATTTATATTGAAACTTGGTTAATTGATTTTAATTTGTTATTTAAGGATTTCGTACTATCAGTAGCAGTTTCACCTGATGGACGTTGGGTAGTATCTGGATCAAAGGATCGAGGAGTACAGTTCTGGGATCCTATCACAGCTCAAACACAATTTATGTTACAAGGACATAAAAATTCAGGTTGGTTTATAGATTAATTTATTTTAATTTATCGTATTGGATTTTGAAAGTATTTATTATTAAATTGTTTCGTTATTTTAAAGTGATTTCGGTAGCTTTAAGTCCAACGGGCAAACTTTTCGCCACTGGCTCTGGCGATTGTCGAGCAAGACTATGGCGGTATTATGATGAAATGTAGCTACGATAATGTTATTTTAAAGACAGAATTTCTAAATACACATAATAGTTTTTATAAATAGCAAATACTCATAATTTTATTATATTTTTCTTTTGTTAAATATTTGCTTTCTTTATGCATAATCGTTTTTTTTTTGATTGTTACATTTATTTTTGGTATTGTTTATGTAGGAAAAAAGTGCAGTGAAGAAGAATAGTATAATATATAAATGGTTTAAAATTTTTAAAAAGCTGGTACTGTTTAATCATTACTTTGCTTTGAATGTTTTTATAATTTTTTTATTGTCATTATTTCGATTTTACCTTCAAAGTATTTATGTATGAAAAGACGGGAAATCTTTTTTTGTGTAGATTGTTTTTCTTTCTCTTCAAAATGAAAATTTTTAGTGATTTAAGCAGATTTGGTTGTTTCTCATTTTATGGTAGATTTTTTTATATTTTCTTCCCTTTTTCAACTTACCTTTTTTTTTTGTACAAATGAATTTTTTTTCTGAATTTCTTATTTTTTGCTTTTATAATATACTTCTGAAAATCTGTTAAAAATAATTTATAATTGTACCAGTATTATCATTTAAATGGAAATTTTATGATTTTTGTATAGAAAATTATTATTTTTTTTCTAAAAAATAAATTTTTAATTAAGACTATTAAAATTTAATTATTATTCTTTTTTTAGTTATATATAATATAACAAATACAAAGTTTAATTAATAAATCGCAAAAATAAAAATATAAAAAGTCCATAAGTTATGGTTCAGCTAATTCTTCACCACTTAAAGGTGATAATTCATCAACTTCTACTTCCCCATTTCCATTATGATTGTCCAAAACATCAAGAGTAGCATCATCATAGTCACCATCATTTTCATTATTTATTTTTGATTGTGAAGAAATTTTTTCTTCTGATGTTGTTGATATAGACATTTTAGAAATTGAATTTGTTTCATTTATAATATTTTTTGTTTCTGAGGGTGATTTTTCTATTGGTACAATTGATTTTTCAGATATTATTCCATCATTAACAATTGCATTTGATGCTTCAGTTGGTATTCCATCATTAACATCTACATTTGATGTTTCAATATTATCAGACCCTTGACTTTGCACATCATTGATATTTTCATTTGATGTCTCTGTTGGCATTATAGTCTCTATTGTCAATAAATCCGATTGTTTGGGTAAAGGTATAGGTTCCGGATCCGGTATTACACCACCCAATTCTTCAACTAATTCATTAAATTTTCCATCTTTACCATACCATTCTTCTAAATTTATTATTCTTGAAGGATCTTTAACTTCTCCCATAACAATAGCATCAGCAAATCTCCATCCATTTGTATATCCATCATTAAACATTTCTAAAGGTTTTTTATATTTCTCCCAATTGATTTCATCATCAGATCTTAAATTTAAAAATTCATACCCACGTAATTTTTTTAAACCATCATTATTATTATCACTATCTACAAAAGTTTCACATCCTTTAAACATAGGTACATATTTTGTAAAACATCTTTCTATAGCTAAATCTTCTTGTAAATAATTATTTTTTATATTACTATTTTTAATTATAGTTGCTAAACAATATGGTAAATGTGGACCTATCATAGTTAATAAATTTTTATTTATTATATAACCTGATCCTTTAAAACAAAATTTTTTTGTAGTTTCATGATCTAAATTTGGACTTCCTATTAATTTAGGTAAAAAATTATTTTCAGTATTATTTAATGTTGATAATAATTCAATTAATTTTGGTAATCTAACAAATGTCTTATCTGTGATTTTTAATATATAATTATAATGATCTAAATGATTTTCGTATAAATAATGAAGTGCCTATAAAATTAATTACAAAAATATTAAAAATAAAATAAAATAAAAAATAATAAATATTCAAAAAATTATTTACCTTTGTTAACTTTTGAAATTCTTTTTGTTCATCACTTAATTGATTTTGTTCTTTAAATATCATAGTTTCTTGAAGTATTTCTTTTAATAAATCTTTTAATTCCTTTTCTAATCCTTTTTTGTTATCATTAATGCTAACATCTTCTGTTACATCATTATTATTAACAATATTTTCAAATCCTTCTTTATCAACTTTATTTATTTCATCATCATTATAAGGTATATTTGGCCAACCAAATTTTTTAAATGTATCTTCAGGAGTAGCAAACCATAGATCTACACTTAATGATTTATTTTGTTTAGCTATTTTACCCCAAGTATCTATTATGGTTTTACTAAATGTATCTAATGAGGTACTTGATGAAGTAAGAATTAAAATTGCCAACTGTTTCGGATAATTATCTGTGAACGTGGAAAATATTGGAGGTAACGGTTTTGTTTGCTGTTGTTGTGATTCTTTTGTATGTCTATATTCATAGACACAAAGAAAGAGGATTAGTTAAAACTAAAAGAGAAAATGACTTTTCGATGGATAAAAACGAATTTAATTTTAAAATTTAAAATAAGCTTTTTACCCAGTGACAGCTGGAGTTTCTTCAAACGGTACATGATTACGTTTTGAAAGTTGCAATCGAATTATTATAATAAATATTACTAACAACATAAAACTAAGATAACCCCATTTCCTTCTCACAAAGTGAGGGGGGAATAATATAGTTCTCCAACGTCCATGACGAAAAGTTGTAGGTGGTATTGGGGATGTATTAGGAGAAACGATAGTAAGTGGTAATAAATTATAATTGGATGTTGAACGTAGTGAAGCAATTGAAGTTCTAATACGTAACAGAAGTGGGTTTATTGGAGGAGATCTATGTTTTTCTTCCATAATTGTATTTCAAATCCTTAAACGTAATAAAATAAAAAAAAAAAAATTAAAAAAAGTTCTAAATAAAAAGCCTTGTTTTTTTTTATTTAACAAAAACTTTCTACGGTTTTTACACGTTACTGTATATTTTTATTTTTTTAAAAAAATATGCATAATTTTTTGCATTGCATAACTGCATAAATTTCTGCTACTTTTTTGGATATGAATGTTGAATGTAAATAAACTAATTTAGATAATAGTTATACTCGCGTAAGGCGCATAAATATGATAAGGTACACAAATTTAAAAAACCAATCAGTTTTTATCATTTAACCCACTTTCGATTTGAGTATCAAAGTTATTGAATTAATTATACAGTAGTTAATAAAATAGGTTTAAAAACAAAAGAATTAATTCTTAAAATAAATTTAAGAAATTGAAAGATACATTTATTTTATTCATTTTTTTTTTTTACTACGGGACTTTTTCTTTCATATACCCTTCATTATAAATTTTCGAATATAAAATAATCGACAACTTAATAGTCATACGATATTGTTTGTATATTTGTACACAGATTGTGCAATTGTGCATGATTCTCGAAAACCACCTGATCACATATAGAACATTCCCTATTTTTATCCTTTACAAAGGGAAACTTATATATTCAAACGACCAGAAGAAAAACATCCGGGTAAAGTAGGATATATATTAGTCATAACACAGACCAATTACTTTAAAGGGATAGGATCGGATTTATTACTGCGATTAGGCTATTAGGAAAATTCGAATACGGAAAACGTTACTGTGGGGTAAGGAGTATTAGTAATTTTAATAATAACAATTTCGTAAATTTCATCATTTCAATCATTGTGACCTAAGGTACAAAAGCACAAAAGTGGCTGATAATCAAATTGGGGCTGGTGATAAGAATTGGTAGACCGAACAATTCTGTTACAATAGTCATAAGATTTTCAACTAAACTGCACAAGATTTTTCAAATAAAAAAAAGAAGGGCTGATCGAATATCATTAATATATTATTTTGGGGTTTATATTAACCTTATTTAGCAATCAAATGACATAATTTATATGCTAATATAATATTGTTCGGTTCTATTTTCCCGAAGTTTTATTATATAAATATCGAAGGATTGTTTAAATATAAACCCAAAAACAAATTTCAATTTTTAATACACAAATCGATCCTCAACTACCAAAATCCAATATTCGAACTATTCCAACATACTTTAAATAAATCAAATATTTAAATATACATTTAAACTTTAAATTTTATTGTAAATAATAATAAATGCTTATCAAGAAAGAAATAAAATACGGATATTCCGCAGGTAATATGTCTTTTTTTTTTTAAAAAAAAAAAAAAAAAATTTTATAAATTTTTTATTTTCTAACTAAAATATTATTTTTTTTTTTTTAGAAACTGCAGGAACTACGGGAAAAAGTCGATTAGTTAAACCATCGAATCTAACAAAAATCCGTCTTACACCTACAAATTCAAAATTCTTATTTTATGGTACAAGACACGATATATTAAAATGGATGTCTTTACACTCAGAATTATTGATAGTATATGATCCAATAGCCGATGATGATGATGAACTAGCATTATCACCACCACCTTCACCACTTAATTCTTCTCCCATGTTTATCGCATCTCCCACATCTCCCACATCTCCCATATCTCCCATGTTTCCTTCGTCTCCCTCATCAATGACACACTCTTTATCTTCTGATTCAACTCTTTCAACCAATACTATCACTATAAGTGAAAAACCACACGATATTGTATTCGATTTATTCACAATTCCGATCAAAACTTCAGAAATATTATCAGAAGAAGCAACTTTTAATAGACCATTAAATATTGCATTAAAATGTATTCCCTGGATAGAAGTTATGTTAGAAATTCGCCCTGCCGATGAACTTAAAGATTCTAAATTATATCCTATACATAGAGTAATATTACCTTCTGGATCATCTTTATCAGAAATTTCTAAAGCTTTGGAAAAAAGTTGGAAAAGTCTTATTCCAGATTCAACGGCTTTTGGTCCTGATTGTTTTATTAGAAATAGTGAATTAATATATCCTCAAAATAAAACTAAATCAGATTCTCATGATTTTAAACCTAAAGAAATAACTTCCGAAGAAGAAGAATTTTATAAATCAAATGGATTTATGGCCGGAATAGCTAAACGAGTTCCAACCGTGGATTTATGGCTTCGTCAAAAACAAACTTCCGGTGCTATACCTCCTGGTGTATTAACTCCTTACATAATTGATGAAGTTTTGGAAGATTTAAATGAAGAAACAAAAAAGGACGATGAAAAAGTTCCTGAAGACAAAAAAAAGGAAGCAGAATTAGATAAAGAATTGTCAAGACCTGATTTACCAAGATACGAAAATGTTTTTGGTGACGTTTTATTAGAGAAGGGAAATTGATGATAAATAGGAGAAATGATGATAGAAATGTATAAATGAGGGGAAGTAATAATAGAAATATATAAAAGAAAAAAAAAGTTTGAAAAAAAATTGTAATTAATTATATAAAATCCATTTGTATTTAAATATCATTCATTAATTTATTATAAAAAATATATAGTCTAATTTTTATATAAACTAATAAAAAATCACATAATTTATAGTCATCACTTTAATTAACAACTCGCATTAACAAGTGAATAATGATTTTTCGTAGTATTTCCTAGAAATGTTTAATCATCGACATAAAGGAAATAAAGTCATATATCGCCTTATAGTCGTTATCATAGAACTCTAAAGTTCTTTTTGCATGTGTTGAAGATGTTTTGCATTACGCACAGACGCGATATACCAGGTCGGTTATATACCAGGTCGGTTCAGAGGTTTGTTATAGATTGTAGTAATTCATTCCAGATTTCAATTCCATTAAATTAAGATTTACCCATGATCTAGTGTGTTGAGAATCCGATATATCGAACTTTATACTAAGTTTTATTTTTTCTTCTCATACTTTATTGCAATGAACTAAAGAAAGTCTGAATCAAGACTCTTGTAGCAATTGTATAGCAATTGCTCCGTAACTCCATTTTTAAATGACCGGGTACCATTCCTGGTGTAATGGCTAATTTTGGCATGTACCGAACAAAAAAAAATACACAAGGACTGGAGTCTCTAGACAAATCTCGTAACATTACAATGACTGCAGATTTTATAAAATCCCGTGTCTTACTTATATCATTCATGGAATAATATTTTAACCGATCATTATTTGTTCAATTTCGATGTTTAGTTAATTGACTCTTTCATTAACAGTAGGATACGTAGTGCCATTGTTGAATGAAAATAAAAGGTAATTAGGTAACCTGATTTGATGTGCAGCAATCCGCAATATGCATTTTTTACCATATATGTTTAATACAAAACCTACAATGGTTTAGAATTTTTTTACGATTAAGTGTTTTTATATTTGGAATTCATTTTAAATATGGTTTCTTTGTTCATTTAAGAAACCAAATTAGTTCTAATTAACTACGAGATTTACTAAAGGATTCTTCAAAAATTCGTCTATTGATCTCCCATAATTAGATTTGATGATTATAAGATATATTTTTAGGAAATTCTTGTAATTAATGAATGTATCATAATTTAAAATTCGACTACGTAATAGATTGATAACGATTTCTGAAACAAAGAAATTATGTATTATTTAAAATTCTTATAATGATGTTTTTATTTATTTAAAGAAATTCATAATTAATACGAACTAGAGTAATTTTTTTTTTTTTCCGAGAAAAAAAAAAACAAAAAACAAATATTTTTTTTAAAACAAAATCAAATTAAATTAAATTATTATGGACGCACAACAATTCATCAATGAAAAATACCCAACAAAAGAAGAAAGAATTAATGAAACGAAATTAATTATAAATAAACAAAATCTTGAAGGATATTTGGATTTATCAGATTTTGTTAATTTGGAATTATTAAATTGTTGTGATAATCAATTAATCGATTTAAATATTAGTAATAATAAGAAATTAATTGATATTGATTGTTCACAAAATAAATTAAATCAATTAGATACAAGTAATTGTAAAAATATAAATATTATTAACGTTCATTATAATCAACTTAATAAGATCCCTATTTTAAAGAGTAAAAATTTAGAATATTTAAATTTACTTGATAATAAAATTTCTTCTTCAAATTTAAATTGTTTTTCTTCTTTTATTAATCTTAAACAATTATTTATAGGTAATACTGATCAAGAAAGAATTGATCAAGGAATTTATAATCAATTTTATGGTAGTTTGGAACCTTTAAAAGGTTTAATTAAATTAGAAAATTTAAGTATTAATAATACTGATATAGATTCTGGTTTAGAATATTTATCTTATAATATTAAAAATTTAAGATGTTTGGCTGATAAAAGATTAGATGCTAAAGTTAAAATAATTTATAATCAACTTGAAACTTTTGCTATTGATGATATTGATGCTTGGCAAGGTAGATATAATTTAAGAGGATGGAAAAAAAATTGGGAATTAACTAAAGAAATGGAAGAATTAACTAAAGAAATAACATTAAGTGAAGAAGAAGAAAGTTCTGATGTTCAAAATCGTTTAACAGAATTAGAAAAAGAAGAAAGTAATTTAGTAATTAAAAAAGATGAATTGGAAACAAAAAAAATTAAATTAGAACAAAATGTAAAAATTTTACAACAACAAATTTATAATTTAAATATTAATTTAGAAGAAATGAATATTGTTTATCAAAAAACAAAACAAGAATTAGAAGAAAAAGAAAATGAATTAAAATCCATTACTGCTGAGCAATTAATGGAAAAAGGAATATTAGAAAGAGAAGCAAATATTTTAAAAGAAGATTTATTAAATAAAGAAAAAGTTAAAAAAGAATTAGAAGAAAAATTAAAAGAAACTAATGATGATTTAAAAAATAAGGAAGAAGAATCTAAAGATTTACATAATCAATTAGTTAAAATCAATAAATCAATTATTGAAATTGAAACTAAAAAAAAGGAATTAAATTCTCTTAAAGATGAATTAAATAATCAATTATATAAAGCTAAATCTAGTACAGCTTCTTTAAGAAAAAAAATGAATGATTTAATGGAAATATTAAAATTTAAAAGTAAAGAATTACAGGGTCAATTAATGAAGGCTAAACAAACACAAAATAAACTTGAACAAACTGAAAAAAATAAAAATATTCTTCAAAAAGAAAAAGATGAATTAGAAAAACTTTTAGAAAATCTTAAACAAGATGAACAAAATTCTCAAAATAAACTTATTAACCTTAGTAATCAATTAAAAAATAAGGAGGATTTTATTAACAAACTTCAACAACAAAGTGAACAACGAATTAAAGAATTAAAAAATCAATTAGATGAATTAACTAAAAAAAATGAAAAAGCTTTTCAAAAAGAAAACGATCTTTTAAAGAAACTTCAAAAAAATAAACAAAATTCTCAAATTCTTAAAAATCAATTGAAAAATAAGGAAACTTCACTTATTAAATTTCAACAACAAAGTAAACAACAAATTGATAAATTAAAAGAACAATTGGATGAAGAAACTAGAAAAAGTAAGGAGACTTTTCAAAAAGAAAAGGATCTTTTACAAAAACTTCAGGAAAATGAAAAGAATTTTCAAAATCACTTAAAAGATAAAGAAATTTCTATTAATAAATTTCAACAACAAAGTAAGCAACAAATTGATGAATTAAAAAGAAAATTAGATGAGGAGACTAGAAAAAATGAAATGGCTCTTCAAAAAGAAAAGGATCTTTTAGAAAAGTTACAAGAAAATGAGCAAAAATCTCAATATAAACTTGCAGGTCTTGAAAGTCAGTTAAAAGAAAAAGATTCTTCTATTAATAAGCTTCAACAAAAATTTGATGATTTAAAAGAACAATTAAATAAATTTCAAATGCAAGCTAAAAAAACTAGTCTAAAAGAATTACGGGATACTCTTAAAAGTAATCTTGGTAGAAGAGGAAAGATCTTACTGGAGAATCTTTTAAAAGAGCAAAGGAATATCATTTTAACTAATAATAGTTCTGCTTTCAAAAGATTGGAAGAAATTAAACGGGATTTAAGTGTTGATTTAATGTTAGAGGAGGATATTTCCAATCTTCAATCTCTTTTAAATTTGCAAACGGAAATAATTCAGTTAGAGATGCAACTGCCGAATCAATAACGAAACTAAATATATTACATTATTTGGCTGAATAGTGAACCGGCAAATGTGATTACAATATTATAATCCAATATTAAAGTACTATCAAAAAACTTGAATCATTTTTCAGCGATGGAAATGTCGATCATTCGTGTAAAATAAAATAATTCATGGATATCGGATCCTAACGTTAGCTTTCTAGACAAAGGTTCATACTTTTTAATTGAAATAATGAAAAAAATACTTTAAATGGTTTAATTTAATCAAAACTTAAATTAGAATTAGAGAAAAGAGAAACTAAGTATTAGTGAGTAGAAACTTAGAGAGTTTTATCGATCAGAGAATGAGTTTAGGACAAGCTGATCTTGAATACTTTTGCTAAATAAAGAACATTCTCAATAATTTTGGTAACATGAGATATTAATTAAGGATCTCCTTCCTATTATATTTTGTTAGGCAAAAAATGAACCGATTACGGAAAATTGTGGTTTTTGTACTTAATTCCTTGCGTTTTATGTGTAGTTTTTATGAGCCAGAAATATTTCTAATTAATTTTTGGATAACAATTATTAATTCGTAAGCTCGATATCATGCAGTTTCTAAATTTGATCTACAAGGAAATTAATTAATTTCCGTTTTCCGGTTTACGGGTATTTGGGCATTTCGTAATACTATCGTAATATACCCTTATTAAGGGAAAAAAAAAATTGTCGGGTGTTATGAATAGTTTATGTGTCCTTATATAGCTAACTAAGAAACGCGTAAATTGCATAAGTTTTTTTTTTAGGTATAGAATATTACCGTATCTATTTATATTTTTTCACTAATTCGAAATTTTTTTTTCTCTTCGTTCCTTTTTTTCTGTAAGATAAATTTTCTCTTTTCTTTGAGAAAATTCTATCGATTATAATAAACTCTCGGACAAAATATTCGGATGTTGATTCTCCTATAAAATTCTCTCCTTTTTCGAACTATCTTTCATTTTCTTTCATTTCTCTTTTTTCCCTTTTCCTCCTCCAACTCTAATTACATTTTATTTTTCTTTTTTCTTTTTTTTTTGAGTGTAATATTGTGTTGTAATATTATAAAACTTTGGGAATAAATATTGTGGTCGCGAATTTCTTTTTGTGAGATACTAATAATTTTGTAAATAGTTATTTTTGGAGTGTCGTTTCGGTAGGTGAATAAGGTGTAGCACATATTACATTTTAAAAATGCCGCCTATACGTATTAAGAAATTTTCAAATGAAATTACGTAAGTTTTATTCTCGAAATTTTTATTTTTATTTGTTCTTTACACACGTTTTAACCACTTTGTTATTTATTGTAGTAAAGGTATAGCGCGCGATAATAATGTACATATGCTTTATCATATACATCGTAGACAAGAAGATTTTAATAACAATCATAAAATAAACCCAACTTCAGTCCCCTCAATTCCGACAGTATCATTGCCACATGGTTCAATATCTTTAACTTTGGTTACTACTTCTACTATTAATGCTACGCCTGCTGCTGGTACTGATATTGATACTGCTACACCTATTGCTAGCGCTACTGATACCGATACTGAAGCTACTGCTACAGATATTGGTGATCTATTACCTACTGATCCATCAACTCCAAAAATACCAAAAATACCATTTCCATCAATACCACCTTCTATTACCACTCCGATAACATCAGATATTCCTACTACTGCTACTCCGATACAAACACAAAATCCTTTATCTTCTTCCTTTTCAATAACATCGACAACAACAGCAACAACAACAACAACATCTCCATTTCAGCCAATACCAAGCTCAGGTTCACCAAATGACACAAAATCAAATAATTTACATGTGTGGATGTTTTCAATATTGGCAGTTGCGATATTAATTATGATCTTAACAGTCTTAGCTTTAATATATAAAAAAAGAAAAGGAAAAAGAAATACTTTACATAGCATAAATGCTGGAGATATAACTGACAAGGATAAAGAAAATAGTTCAAAGTCTAATTCATTAACTTCTTCGATTAATAGCATTTCTTCTTCATTCAAAATAAAAAAAGGAAAAATTGTACCCGGAGATATTCATGTTAGTAGTCCTCCTGTACCAAGTATAGTTGAGGAAAAACCTCACATGCCAACATTAAAACGTACTCAAACAACTGTGTCTGCATTTCAAGAATTGGTTGATTTAACCGATGATGAACATTTTAACCTAAGAAAATCTACTAGTTCCGGTATATATACGATTGCTTCTCGCCTTAGTAGTACTCCAACCTATGTTAATTATGATGCAGAAGAAGGTTCTTCAAGTAATGTTACAAACGTAATTCCTTTAAATCAAGAGCGTATTGATACTATAATACCTCACTCAAATGCAGATAGTGGTGGTGGTGGTCTCACAAGAACTTTTGCTTCCGCAACAATCCCATTTGACACTAGTAATAATGAAGATAATAATAATCAATAATCTAATGACAACAATAATATTTCAACCAAAAGTATTATACATTCACTTTAGCGTATATAATAATTACACTCATCATATTATCCTAATCTTAATTGTAAATTTACTTCACTATAGACATTTCACAGAAAAATATCATAGAGAACTTTTTTCGGGAGAATTTTCCGATAAATTAATAGCATTACTTTTTATTTATTTATTTAATAACTTAATTCCAAATCCCCTCATTTAATCTACATCACAATTATCACTCATCACAAAGAAACAACACTTTCTACAACTTTTTCATGTAATTACAAAAAATCCTCGGTTGGAATCATTGTGGGTGGTTTGTTATTTTCATTCGATATTTGTTCCGAGAGTTTAATAAACATATTGGAATGTCTGGATTACATTCTATAAAATTTTGTTACTTTTTATTCTGTGAACTTTTTACATTTAATCTCAAAAGTAATTATTAATAAAAATTAAATGATAAATAAAAACTATTAACTTATTTTTTATTAGCAAGACCAGATCGAAAATATGCGATATCTCCATCTTCAAAAACATATTCTTTACCCTTTGTCAAATATTTTCCCGCTGATTTAACCGCTGCTTCGTTACCAAGTTCTTTTAAGTCATCAAATTTCATAACTTCTGCTAAAATAAATGATTTCTCAAAATCGGTATGAATAACTCCTGCTGCCTTTGGTGCCTTCGTGTGTTTCTAATAAAAATTTTTTTTTTTTTTTTAAAAGAAAAAAAAAATTCATTTTTAAATTGCTTAAACCACTTTTAATTAATCTCAAATGTATCATGATTAAATAAATACCCTAATTGTCCAAGCTCTGACTTCATCCGGCCCACAAGTGAAAAAATACATAAGCTGTAATGCTTGATATCCTGCTACTATGATTCTTGGAAATGAAGATTGAGCATCTTTTTCAGCCAAAAATGCATCCTTTTCTTCTTTTGTAGGAAGAACCGAATGTTGATATTCAAATCCCGCACTGAAAGGAAGTATTAAGTCTCCCGGATTATTTTCATCAACCCATGTCTTTATCTTTGGTAACCTAAAATAGAAACCTTTATATTATTATATGATCTTTCTTTTAACGTCGTCTATCCGCATTTTATTCACCATTTGTTCTTTTTCCTAATGAAATCTTTTTCGCTCAAATTAACTAAATAAATTACGGGCTTTGCGGTAAGTAATTGCAAGGCATTGATAATATCTACCTAAAGCAGGAAAAATGTGTACATAAATATGTTATACATAAATATTGTAATCAATACATTAAGAAATAATGATTTTTGATAATTACTTCTTTGTTGTTCCAGTCCCCTTTTCGAACATCCTTTTTGTCCTCTGCTACAAATTTCAGCACTTTTTGTGTAATGTCCTATATCGAATATTTAAAATTAACTTGTAATATAATACATAAAATTTCACGTATTCCATATATATAGCACTTACCAATTCTTCTTTCTTTGCCTTATCGGCCGTAGAACCACCTTTTCCTACGCGTGCCGTAATTTTTGACAATTCTTCTAATTTTTTAGTCAAAAATTCTTCATCTTTGAGACGAAGTTCGTTATGAATAATTTCAAGATCCCTAACAGGATCAAGTTCCCCTTCAACATGAATTACATCCTCCTCAGAGAAAGCTCCTTTTATCCATCATCATAACAAAAATTTTAATAGTTAAAGATGATAAATTTTTTCGTACAAACGTTAAAATTTAAGGTTGAAACAAAAAGGATACGGACAACATGGAAAATAGCATCTACAGCTCGAATATGACTCAAAAAGTTGTTACCCAATCCAGCTCCGGTGGATGCGCCTTTAACTAACCCAGCAATATCAATAACAGTAAGATAAGCTGGCACCTTTGAAAGTGGTTTATATGTTTCACACAACCAATCAAACCGGGAATCTGGTACAGCGACTCGAGATTCTTCTGGATCTATATATTTAAAATTGATTACATAACATTTAGATCGCATAACATTTGGATCGAATCCACGACTAAACTATAATGTGAAAGTTAAAAACTAACCAATTGTACAAAAAGGATAATTTTCTGCGGATGCCGCACTGTTTGTAATGGCATTAAAGAAAGTAGATTTCCTGTGATATAAAATTGAAAAATTGGATTAAAGCAAAACTTGTTCAATAAAGTTGACTGAAGTTTTCAAAATTAAATTTATATTATAAACAAAATAAAATTATTACATAAATATAAATAGTCATTGCTTTAACTTCTCGGAAACTTACCCAACATTAGGTAGCCCAACAACTCCGATCTTCAAGTTATTACTCGGTCTACCAAGTAAAATTCGTTCTTCTTTGACAACTTTTTTTGGTGGCATATTTTTTCTGTATAATGGTAAAGTATAAGAAAAAGAACGAGTCCAAAAGACCTGTAAAAAGTTTGACGAAATACTATTGATAGATAAAGATCTTTGAATTCGTAAATAATAAGAAATAACCAATAAAGGTCCTCGAGGTGCGAAGTTGAACATTCAAAAAAAAAAATGGGTTTTTTTTGTTAATCATCTCGTGATCGGGAATCGGCACAGTACCCTCTGGCCGGAATTATAGGTTCGGCCAGCATTAGTATAATGTGAGATAAAATAGGCAATTCAGTTAATTATAATCCAATTTTTTAATTCTGACAAGTATTATAATTAGTTTGGAAATATAGAATTAGTTTATATTAATAATTTTACTTAAAATTCATTAATTAGAATTAATTTTAAATTAATAATACAAATTAATCTATTAATAAGTATCTGTATTTAGTGTTATTATTATCTATGAATAAAATGTGATAAAACACATCTGAAGTATAAGAATATTGGAATGTTAAAAAAAACATGATATTTAATTTGGTATTTTTATAATAATTGATTCAAATTTAATCATTAGAATTTACAGTAGAGAAATCATCTAAAGAGGAATGAAAAAGAGAAACAGAGGAAAAGGAGGAGCATTATATATATAGTATTTAGTATATAGATATATATCCAGTATAAATATATTATCTCCAGCATAATTCACACCAATCTCTATCAGTCAATAATCACACTAATTAGCTAATATACAGGAATATAGGAACATTAGATATATATATAATATGAATTGATGATACTAAAGGAAAAATAAAAACTGTGATTAACTTTTTAATCAGCTAAAAACTCAAGCTCAAGCTGAACTAGAAGCGGTTAAAAATGCCAAAGAATTAATTATGGGATATCCATATTGATAGAAAAAGCTGATAGAAAACTTCAAAAATACTAAGAAGTGATAAGAAAATAAACTTTTTATGATATAGACTGTAAAAGCTGACAATCTTAAGCTTTGGGAATGTATTTATTTGAATTCTGTTATTTGATTATTTATTGTCCATTGGTCTGCTGAGTTGACTTTATTGGCTTCAATTACAATTCACTGAAAATATCAGTAAAAAAAAATTCACAAATATAAATTACTTATTTAGTTGTATTATCATGCAATCATAGAAAATAGAAAAACATTGATATAAGTGATTACATCAATAAAAGAATTAAATTGGCGTTTGGTCTGATGATATCATCTCTTTTTTTATATACTGTATATATAAAACATCATGATTATCTAATTTAAAAGCCAATTGCTTTTTCTAGTAAAATTTGATGTAAGAAATTTGATATGAGTAATTATAAAGGTTTGCAAAAAAATAATATAAATACTGCCTTTTCAGATTTTAAAAAAGGATATAGTAATTATATAAAATAAAGAGAGGATTCCATTTTTTCATAAATACATCATATTAATAAAAAATCAGTGTTTATATCATTTAACATACAATAACACTTATATCTGATTCTGATTACTTGCCTTACTTCAAATAGAACTTTAAAGAATAGTCCTTGATAAACTTTGATAGTTGATACTTTCAAAAGATGAATGGCTGTAATGTTAATAAAATTCAAGAATTTTTTACAAACACATAAATAATATATTGTTAAAGGATTCAGCAACTGATGAAGAAAAAAACTAAGTGAAATTATTAATCAATAAACAAAAGTAAGTAACTTTAAAATAAAGTTGAGGTAAAGAAATAAGTTATTTCTGCATTTTGTTAATCATCTTAATGGATTGAAATAAGTAAAAACCTATTACAGTTTTGCATTTTGTTAACAGTCTTAGCAAGGCTGAAATAAATAAGAGCTTGTCATGGGCTCATGGCTTTGCACTTTATTACAGTCAAACCTCTATATACTGATGAGGTTATTTTAAGGAAAAAATATTGGTATATTGAATTATCATCACACAATTACTATATATCATATTATAAATCACGTTTATTATTAGATTAGCGAACAGTTAGATTTTGATACTAATACTTCTAATTGGAAACAATATCAATACTTACAAGTAACATAATGCAGAGCAAATACCACCTGATTAAAGGTAGAGTGTATCATGTGATACTTCATATAGATTGATTAGTCAAATTCCTTATTACATAGTAATACTATTTTCTGTACAATATAAACTTTTGTAATACTTAACATAAATGGATAAAATTTATATCGTTAGAAAGCCACAATTTTGAACTTTTATTTTTTTAATTAAAAAAACTTCTTTTATAAAAAAAATCTTTAAAAAACACCTAATGAAGTTGTGACTAGACATATATGTTTTTGCGACTAGGCAATCTTGAATTTTATTGGTTGTTAGTATCAGTTGTATATTTAAAATGTAAACAAATGATCAGCAAACCTATAGTAAAATAATTTGCCATCCACTACATATAAAAAATGATTGACATATACTCTACTCTTAATGATCTAAAATAATTAAATTTTAGCAAAATAAACTGCAAAAGAATTCAGATTAAATCTTTTACTTGGGCCAACTTTATAGTGCTGGTCCAAATTAATACTAGTGTAGCTAAAATATCGGTACATCTTAATATATGTTATTATAAAAGGATCAAGAAAAAGTATTAGTATACGACTATACGTTACATTGCGAAATTATATACAATATCAATATAACGCAGTTTTTTATTATACATGAAACAAAACAATGAAAATTTATCGGTACAGGAAATTATCAGTACACTGGGGATCAGTACATAGAGGTTTGACTGTAATTGCCTTAGCGAGATTGAAATAAGTAAGGATAACACATTTCTGGCCACATAAATAATTTTCACGAAGGTGAAGTTTTATTGGAATACTAAGGTCTACTAATTCTGGAGGAGGAATTAGTTATGTACCTCCCTTAATAATCCAAGAAAACTTCCTCTCATTAAGTTACTTATACAGTTATACTTAATTGATATTAACCATCATTTTTTAAAAAAAAATTAATAAGGAACATACCAAAGTTGCCAATGTAATATGTGAATTCTAGAATCTATCCAAAAAAATAAACAAAAACATAATGATACAGGTGAAGAAGATGAAGTCATGAAGACGATTTGGCAAAAAAAGAAAAAATTCTTACATTCAAGAAACATGAAATTTTCAATCAAAGAAAGGGAAGTAAAACTTCGGACTTTTCCATGACAGAAAAGTTGGTTTTACATCTTAACAAGTGTAAGAAATATATTATTTATTACTGTAAATTTCAGTATTATATAAAATTGAATTTTGTTGTGTCCTTTAACCAGATGAACTGGTTTGAACAGTATATAACCTTTAATACAAGCCTTTGTAATAATTCCAAGAGGACTTTTAAAAAGAACTTCTTTAAGCTTTTAAACAATAATTATTTAAATAATCATCTACCTCGGAGTATTGATCATCAGCTCGGAAGAGCCACGAATTGTACGACAATCACCAGGTCTGTGCGGCATATTAATTTTCGCATATAACCAGAAAAACTAATGCACCCGGTCCCCCTAACCTCTGTTTTCCCCGAACAAACGCGTTAAAATTCTTGCTTAAATGCTTTGTTGCAACACAGGACCTACTATATATGTTAATATTGACGGCAAAACCATATGCTATGAAGGGCTGAGAACTTTGCAATTTCCGAGATCTACGCGAATTAGCCAACTTTGAGTCTTGTGGGGAAGATCTTCATGTGAAAAATCCGTACGCATATGCTTTCAAAGGGTTCTTGGCATCATACGATAAAGAGAATCATCTTCCTTATCTTCGGCGTTCGGTCCTTTTATTTTTCCGCGGTCTACAGTAACGAGATATAAAACGCCAGACTGGTAGAAGTTCAGCCAACCTTCCCGCGAGTGTGTATATACCCTTTGGTCGTCGTTCATAAAGATAATGATGGAGGACTGTAAGACTGCAAGATTCCACTCTAAATCTAAATTTTTTGTGATGAAGGGCTAAAAATTTGAGCAAGACAGGAGGATATCTAATATGACCGATTTGAGAGCTATCACCGCTACTGGCAATATTCGTCTCAATTGCTTTCTTCGTGGAGAGACTGTTAATAATATTTCGATATAACAATTGATAACAGTTTGGCCTTTGATAACCTAAAAGACTCGATCAGAAATGTCCGGCAAGTCTTACGTCAAACAAACTTCGATCTATACGAAGTTAATTTTTTCCAACCCAATCATGCTAGTCTCTTCTGTAAATAGTTTTCCGGATAGCCAAGGGACCACAAAGTGAAATTTCTAAACATTTTCCCACTTGCGTATCGTAACTCTCATAGAAAGGAACCCTTATCCTCAAGAAAATGGTCAATTCATGTCCTCATATACCCCAGAAATGATTAATGTAAAGCGATATATTCGCATTTTTTTTATGTACTGTTAGGCCGTGTCTTCCGGCAACGATTTATTTTACATGTATCACGGGCTACGTCCCGACCCTTGTATTAATAAAGTTTGATTACCTTTGCCAAGTAACATTGAACATTTTTTGCCGTACATGTAGCATTATTAACCATGACAGTTTGTGATAGTGGAACAGCAAACCCATCCGAGCTTGAGATATTGAGACAGCGCAACGCTGAGCTTGGGGCTAAGATTTCCAGGCTTGAGGAAAAGAATTTCGAGCTTGAAGAAGAACGGAGACTATCATCCAATTATCTTATGAAACAGATGATCGAGCTTAGGAACGAGAGGGCTCTCCTCCATACCGAGAATTTCGATCTCAAATTCGAGATAACGAAGCTCAGAGGATCGTGAGTCCAGACTCGCGAAGATGAGACAGATTAATGAGAATTATGAGCTTAAAGCCGAGATAGCAAAATTAAGGCATTATATCGATGAGCTTAAAAAAGAATTAGAATCTAAGAAAAACCGCAAATTCCAGACTAGATGCATCCAGATAGCTAAAATTCTTAACGAGGAACCTATTATCGAATATCGCCCCTCTTTCATGCAAGGATTAGAGCTTGATGCCTTCTTTCAAAAATATCGAATCGCATTGGAGGTGCAAGGGGCTCATAGCACCAGATGGTATAAAGATATCAAAAAACTCGAGGACATCGTTAATCATGATCGGAAAAAAAGATGCATTTGTCTAGATAATGGAATTTTCCTTATTGAGGTATGGTATGATCAAACCGGAAATCGTTATTCCAGAAAGGATACAAAAAATTAAGGAATTCATTAATCAAGCATCCAAAAGTTTCGATATCCTATAAACAACAACTTATAATACATGTAAATTTCTATTAAATTGCAGATAAATATCGCAAAATTGGGTTTCTCAATCTTTGTATTTAGTATCTTCACCACTGAATCCGTGGTGCCACATGTATCGAATAATAATGACCGAAATTTCACTGCGCCTATATGGCATCCAGGGCTTTATTAGTTCGAAGTGTAACGAAGGACTATATACTTCTACGTTCGATAACGTCATGTCCGGACCCAGAAACTGAACCTATGTTCCTTAGATAATAGATTTGTAATTTAACCACTACTTTTGGGAGCTCTACATGGACAAAGGAAATCCCGAAAACCCATGTCATATTGTACTCCCGTACAGTCAGTTTGAAACTAGAAATAATGAACCCAATTCCTCCATGCGCCAGGTGTCAGTTGGTGATGAAATCGATGAAACACATGGGCGTTGCAGAGGTCCACTCATGATAGTTGACATGATCCCGAAATCTGACCGTAACCACATTGCAACCTCACTTGGCCTTGAGCTCCAAGATGGAGATCAAAATGATGATATCGGTTATATGAAAAAAAAGTTCTTGTCTGTTATATTGAAGAAGTTGGTGATTATGGATTTGACCATATCATTGTCATCGGGGAACGCTACTGGACTCCTTTTTATGGACTGCTTCGGCCGCGTGTTTGATTTGGATTCTATGGGTAATGTATTATGGTTACTTGGCGATTACTCCAAAAGAGTGGAAAGAGTGACAAAAGGACTCAAGACTGGCCGGGGGTACCATGGATTCCGGTGGAATTGTTATTGAAACTAAGGATTGTATGTACAAAATTTGCTCTTTACTCTTTTTTTTTTATCTTAAATTTTTATTTTAGCAATTTCTTCCAGATTCACCATATGATTACCATACCTTCCCTGTTGAAAAAATAAACAAGAAAACGAGGTCGAAAAAGAAAAGCTCAAAAAAGAAACATCATCACTGATTTTAATTTCTTTGTTTTGATCAGCGTGTACTTTTGATTTAAATTTCAATTAATGTTTGTTATCAGATTATTAAAGATTTATTGACATTTTTATTAATTACATTTAGCTGAAGATAATTGATTACTAATTAATATAAGGGTTATTTGCTTTGGAAATAATATTTAGTTGCATCGTATTGAAAATAAATAAATATGATCTTTGCATTATTAAAACATTAATTGATTTTTTACAATGTCTACTACACCTACACACTTGTTCTACATAAAAATAAAGTTTTGCTCACTCGAACAATTCGTGGGCAATGGGCATTAAGTATAACTGATGACCGTTTTTATTCTATCCAGAATATCGATGTTGGGATAAGTGTAATCAGATCAAAGTGAGTGCTGAATAATCGTGTTAATATAGATAAAGAAAGCTGGTGTAGTCCGTAGCATTAGAATAGAACACGATTTCATTTTTTTAAAACAAATCTGCGTATAATTTACTTTCGTGCATGACAAATTGTAATGCGCACGCACGAATAAATCCAAACTAGGCGTCCCTTCTACATAAGCAATGCAAAAATGAATTAAAAGATAAATAATATTATATTTCTTATATTTCTAATATTATAATTTATTTATATTGATTAAATAATAAATAATAGTTTATTTATTTTAAATTTTATTATACTGGTTGCAAATATAATAATTATAGTAAGGTAATTCAATATAAAATATTAATAAAACAAAAATGTAAGATATAATTCTAAATTACCATTTATCAACTAATTCATATTTACCCACTTATAAAATACTTGTTAATCCATATTTTACCCACTTATAAAATACTTGTCACATGATTAACAAACTTCAATAGTGCATCTTTTTAATTAATTACTCATTCTTTAAACCCAATAAAATAATTAATGTAATTTAACTAAATTGTTCTCATGTCAAAAAGACTAAACTGCTCCCCAGCCAGCCATTAACAATGCATATGAATAGTATTGTTAACTAACTAATATATAGTGTCATCGACGGCCACGGCATTTTAAATAATTTTGACATTTACCGTATACAATTTATATATTAGTTAGTTAACAATACTATTCATATGCATTGTCAATGGCTGGTTGGGAAGCAGTTTAGTCTTTTTGACATGAAAAATGGTAAAAGTTGAAATGCCCTAACCGTCGATGACACTATATATTAGTTAGTCAACAATATTATTCATATGCATTGTCAATGGTTCCCAGCTTAGTCTTTTTGAAAACGATTAGTTACGGTTACGGCATTTTAAATAATTTCGACATTTACCGTAACGCCGACGCCGACGCCGTAATTCAAGAAATTTCGACAGCACCTATAATCTAATACGATTAACTATGCTTCTACTTACAAAATAAGTTACTGGTTGCAGGTATATTCTCAAGATTCAGAATTTGATTGTCACCTCCATATTACGACGTTATCATGCGATGATGAGTAATGTATAATATTCCTGATTGGCCGAACGGCACTTCTTATTATCTTACGTCGTCACCATTGGGTATGTATGTATATGTACTATATATATTCATTCATATTTCCCCAAACTTTGGAAGCCAAAAGGTCGGACTTCAACCCTGTGGACTGGATTGGATGCTAAATCAATTGTATGTTAATAAAGGGTTGAAAGTTGAAACGCAATATGCACATTATACGTGCGCTCGCATGCATGAAAATGTGTTTTTTTTCCTTGAAGGATCTAAAGCAGGAATTATACTATCAATGGTCAAAATGTTTTTCTTCTTTAATACGTCCTCATATGATAGTGTTTCATAAATCTTTTTTGATATATATATTAAGCAAGAAGATTTTTGAAGATCCCGAACAAACACTTCATTGTCAATAAATTGATCCAAACTCTTCATGAAATAGGTTGATATCAGAAAATTATGCTTAAAAAAAAAAAAAATTTTTCTTTATTTTCTTAAAAAAAAGAAAAATGAGGTTTTACGTAAATCATAAAGGATTCTTTACGCCATCGTCTATCAATGACGCATTTCAAAAATCATGCTAATCCAAATACATTTTATTATTATTTTATTATGAAGTAAATTTAACGTTACACTAAAGGTAAAAAATGAAAAGGTAAAAAAAAAAAAAAAATATTATGTATATTAGATTTTTCTTTTAGAATAATAATAATAAAAAAAAAAATAAGTATCCAAAAATAAAATTCTGTTACAACGTATTTTTTCCTGACAAAGATTTTCTTTAAATCATTTCCATTTATCCTTTCTATTGCTTTCTTTTTTTTTCTTCTTTTGCCCCCCCTTATTTTATTATACTTTTTAGGAGAAAAAAATAAAAATTCCGATTCTTGAAAAAAACCTGTTTATTTTTAAAATTAAATTTGCCAAAATGTTTATCCATTTTACTATAGATAGATTCATTCCATAATTCAAATATTTATCACACACATAAACATTCGATAAGATCTTGAGTCTTATTTAGCCAAGTGATCATATTGCGCTATCATTCTTTCGTTTAGTGAAACATGAAACAAAATTATCTTACCTTCTCCTTTCTTCTTCCTTAATACTTGTAAACTCAATTCAGCAAAAAAAAAAATAATTACTTTTAAATATTATATTAGCTTTTTTATCCAAAATAATTGAATCGCAGAAAATCATAATAAAATCCGATTAACAATTAATTAATTTGAAAGATAATTTTAGCCCAACGATTACGGGAAAAAAAATTTTTCTTTGAACGGTTAATAACATTCTAATCCAAAAATAAATTACTGAAAAAAAAACAAAAAAATCATAAGAACGCGTCCATAAATGAAAAATGAAATAAGGGGGGAAAAAAGCAATAAGTTAACCGTGTTACATTAAATCATAAATCTGTCATTTCATCGTTTAAAGCATAACCTTTCACAAAAAGTCTAAATTAGATATCAAAAAGATTTTTCTAGATATTATATGTTTATATGAAGGCATAGTTAACTTTAAAAGGTAAACAATATTATAAATCAAAAAAAAAAAAAAACAAATTGTGGTTATGTATATTCTCCTTTACCAGATACTTTTTTTTTATAGAATTTTTAAAATAGAAGAGGAAAGTTATTATGATTTTTTTTTTTTATTAAAATATATATAATATCCAAATATATACAATTATACATACATACATATATACACATACATATATGAATTTTAAAAGATATTTTTTTTTTTTAAGGATTCTTTTCTTCTGTGATAATAAAGAAACATTTTTTTTAATTAAAACTTCGAAATACTTTTGTTTCCCAAATTTAATAGATTATTCCAGATACATATGGCTAATGTCCCCTTAATGGCCGAACGTGGATGATGATCTTTTGATTACAACATAAAATGCGTTTTACCAAGAATTACGAATAAAACAATTATACGACTGTGACAACATACACTTTATTTATAATACTATATATAATTAACAGGAACTACTTGAAATTGTATGAGTAATTTGTTAAGGCGCATTTTACATTTAAGTAAATAATTAACCATATATTGTAAAATTTATTTGTTATTATAAAATAAGTAAATAAATACTCATCGGCACCCGCCTTTTTTCTTCATTTCTTATTTTAAATCGTATTTTTTTTTTGTTTTTTTTTATCCTAGTATTTCACTAGTGAAATAAAAAAAAAAAATAATCAAACTTTTCACATTCATTCTCACCCTCTTCCTTTGTATAATAATCCCAATAATCCCCTATCGGAAAAGTAAGAAAAAAAAAAAAAAAAATTTTTTTGAGCGTTAAAACGAATGGATTTGAGTTGATCTCATATATTTAATCATATCTATCGTTTTAAATATTTTTTTTTTAAAAAAAAAAAAAAATCTTTCCTTCGTTTCAAAGTCAAAACTTGTTTTTCGTTAAAATAAATGGAAAATAATAATAAGGGAAGAAATTACAGACGTTCAAATAACTGGAGCTCGCAGGGTAAATAAAAAAAATATATTTTTTTTTATATGATTTATTTGATTTTTATTTTAATTTATTTTAATAGAAAAACAAACTTATTTACATTTTCTTAAAAAATCTAGACGGGATAGACCAGAATTATTCCGGAAGAATCAGATCACGTGCAAGATCAAATCATTCGAAAAGAATCTTTACTTCTCCAAAAATCTTCAAACCTACTCAATATCCTTCTCCACCTCTTTCAAATATTGTCGCTTCAAATGCTCCAAATGATAAAAGTATAAATAATGTGTCAAGTGGATTCATTATTACTGGAATAACAATAGGATCTTTAATATTCTTAACAATAATAGTTTATTTGTTAATTCGATTTATAAGAAAAAGAAGAGAATCTTCAAAGTCACGAGAAGTTCAGGAAGACGAAGAATTACCGCATCCACGATTAACCTTAAATTTTGTTAAGCATAATCATGCTATACCAGAATTATGTACTACACCAGATACTCAACCGATATTAGATTATTACTCTTCAAAAGCTGGTTTGACTGACAATTCATCGCCTCCTATTATTAATTCAAATAAAGTAAATAAATTAAGTCACTTTATTAAAGAAGATAATAACGATCATAAATCTACACCAGTTGAACTTACCGAAAATATTAGAAAATCTTCTGAAGAGAATGTTAATACTGATTACGTACCACAGTATTACAATGGTATGGAAATACCTCCTTTAGGTGCCAGAATTATTCCATTGGAACGTCAAGTACAAATCGCAAAGGAATTGACTTCTGTTAATAATAATAATAATAATAAACGAAAGAGCAATAGGAGTATCAGCAGTCTACTTAGCATTAATAGTAGAAGAAAAAGTAGTACGAGTAATTATCATTATAATTATAATAATTCTAGTACCCCTAATTCGCTTTCTCAAATAAGTGAAACTCCTCAGAATGAAGGTGCTGCGAAAATAGTTTCTTAACATACTTAATATCATATAATTACATATTTGAATTAATATTATCCATTTATCAATTAATATTTAATACTTTTTAAATGTACAGCAAAAAAAAAAAAATTTTAGAATAGAATTTTGTATTACTAATGTAAAAGTATGGGCATATATATTATAGTAATAATTTAATAATTTAATATTTAATATTTTTAATGTATTTTAAATATGGGTTGGAATATTTGGTGTGGGACAGTGTGGGTATAATTTTTGGTTATAAAAAAATATTTGTACAGTTAAGTAGTTTTCGAAATAATTGGTTATAAATTTTATATTGATTTATTGAACATAATAGGAAATTAATCACTTTTACAAAGAAAGTAATTTTATCACATATTTTTCTATTTTTATTACATGTGAAAAAACCGTGGTTAAAAGTATACGTGCACTACAAACGTATCTTTTAATTCAATAAAATTTGTTTCCAATTTTTCGACATGCATATTAATAATATTAATATATTAGTGTGTTCCCTTTATAACGAAAATCCGTAAATCTGTGTTTTTTTTCAAAACCTGTAGCAGCAACTGCAGGTTCGGAAAAATTCTTCCTAACCCTGACATTGTGATACAATTAGTAATATACTACATATTTATATAGTCATGTAGTGTATATACTTATACATATAATTTATATATACCCCCCCGGTCCGGTCATCCCGATTTTTAATGAAAAAATATATGGGTTTTATAAAAAAGTTTTTATGGGACCATAAGCTAGGGCCATAAGCTAAGGACCATAAAGACAGGTTATTCAAATGACTTTTTTTACGAATAAAAAAATCACGCAATAATCTTATATGAACAATAATTGAAAATCTATATCTTATCAAAAAAAATGAAAGAATCCTGCAAGCAATTTGGAAAAAATAATGTGGTTGGAATTTTTTTTAAAAAAACCCATTCTAAGAAATGTTCTCCGTCTGTGATCTTTCTAAATCGGAATTAATAGATTCAAAAAAAAATACGTAACTGTGAAACCAATTTGTCAACCAATTAAAACAAGGGTTCTTATAAAAAAATGAAAATTATGCTTTGTCTATCAAAAAAAAAAAAAAAATTGCGTTACTATGGAATGATTAAAATTTACCAATTAAAAATAAATAAAATGAAATTCACAACAAAAATTGATTAATTCGAAGATTGATTACTAATTTTGTTTTGCCAAGAGAGTTTAGTTGACTTACGGTAAAGTTAGAGGCGCGGGTAATAATAATATCTTAATTGGGTAATTCATTTTCTGAATAGAAGTTTGGGATATGGATGACATTATTAATTGTTCATCATGTGATTTACCGACAGGAATGGTAATCTATTGCCTATTGGTATTTTGGTAATGGTAAATTTATCTATATTTTTACATCCCATAATTAAAAGTTTATAATGCGGATATTTACTATATTTAAATAAAATGATACGTTTCGAATTTGAAATCTTTTTATGAAATTCTTTATTAAGATCATAATCGTTCAAGTAAATGCGGATTAATTTTCTTGCAGAATAATTTAGTACTAAAAGTGAATGGTTCCATTCTTTACGGAACTTCCTTTTTCAAATGAATCATCTTGCTCTCCGAGTAAGAGTTTAATTTGCATTAAATTGTAATTCAGAAATGAAGTAAGAGAATTCATTGTTTGTATGATACTTCACATCACATATTGCAACGTGATTAAAGAATGTTCTTTTTTAAAAAATCTGGTAAATCTGGTTCATAATTTAATATTAAATGGGATAGATAAATTTTCATACAAAGAAGAGTTAAACTTAGAAACCGATGTAGGAAAATTATTGGATAATTGATTGATGATCGTTCGTGACGCGCATTGCTATAACTAGCGTGAATAGGTAAGTTCAGTTCTTTTTGGTTATGAAACACTTGTATATGAAATTTTATAAACATTTTAATTTCATCTACAATCAGATGGAAGAATGATTCTTTATGATGAAAATTATGAATTATCGAAGAATTCTTGATTAAACGAATTAAAAAAATGATTGCGAATTGAAGGAAGTCATTAAAATTGGAACAAAATGGAATTTAAGGTAGAACTTATTTATATTTCTTCAAACCTTTTATTAAAGCTTGATTTAACCTCATTATTCTCAATTTTTGAGTAGGTCCTTCCCAAAAGTATAGCTAATTTAGCTTTCTAAATCGTTTTCTCTTGAGTAAATAGAGTAAATGCTTTAGAGTAAAATCGCATCTTTATTAAATATCAGAACTTATTTATGATCACTACATTATTTATGTATTGTATATTCCTCAAAGGCATACAATCCAAAGCATCAATCTCCCAAAGTATTTATGCGGAGTAAAAAAATAAGTTAACCTCATTACAAAAGAAGATATATGAAAATTATGATGTGATTGATAGGATTTTTCGATATTGATGGAATAAACAATGTAGACATATATTTAGCGGAAAAAGTAGATTACGTAATATCAAGATTAGAAATTTTAGGATAAATTAGGATCTAAAATCTATTTATTCAAGACATTTTCTATCAGCTCGAGATTTCAAATTAGCATTTATTATGATCACGTTTATTATGATCTCAATTACATCTTTATTCCTTTAAAAGTATTTTATTTTACATAAATGATTATTGTACAATAAACCGGATAGAATGGATCACGGTTAATTAGAAATCTTACTTATTATAATACTGTATTTATTTTTATATTTCTTTTACGAAAAAGATACTCTAAAAAACCGTGTAAATATGTTCAATGGCTTCTTATTATATCTTATTATATTTATTATTTCGCTTTTAGATTAATCATTTTTTTGCGATATTTAAAAATTTAAAAATTTTTTTTTTTTTATATGTAATTAAAGAATATTTTATTATCGTGAGGGATCATGAGGGAATTACAAGTGCAAGTGCAAATGCAGCCATCTTTTGAAATATATATATATATATATATATTTCTCTTATCTATATATTAGTTATAAAATGGAATTGGAAATTAAAAAAAAAAAAAGTAAATTAAATGACAAATAAATATGTTGAATTTATTCTATAATTGATCTCTTTCTTTCTTCCCTGATCTCTTTCTTCCCCTTCATATATATTTCTTCATATCGTGTAATTGATCTTAATAATTGATCCTTTTCTTCTTCTTACATAATTCCTCCTAAATTTTTCTTCCCCTTTATTTATTCGAAAACTGTAATTAATATAAAACATCATAACCATAACATATAAAAATCATGATGAATTAGATCATGATTTCTTCCATAAAATTTACACCTTCAGGTAACATCTTTTTATCTAATATACAATAATAATAAATACATTATGATGTGTGAGGTACAACACCACCAATGGTTTGAATAAATTGATTGCCTTTTTCTTTAACAATTCTATTTCCGATTCCTCCAATACCAAAAGCGGGAGCAATTCTTACAATTCTAGTTAAAGTAGTCTTAATATATAATTTAGATATAAATCCTGCACGAGAAGCAAAAGAAACATGTGGTCTATTATAATAATCTAAACCAAATAAATGTAAAGGACAAGAAACAAGTTGCACAACAGCAGGACACAATATTTGAGCTGCATTAATTGCTTTTTCATCATTTAAGATCAAACCACGTTTTTGAAATTCAGCTGCAACAGTATCTGGCATATTAAAACTGGCACCAATTGTTAAAGCATCTCTAGCAACAAACATACCATAACTTGCTAAAGGTAAACCTTTTGGTGCTACCATACCAAACATTCGAGTAAATGCTCTATCTTTGAATATACATGTTGTCATATTTGCTATAGTAGTACCCAAAAATTTTGGTGTTTGACTATCTTTTTCTAACCTTTCACATATTGTATCAATCGTGTTTGCTGTAGCATATGTACTAAAATACACTCCAAAAACAAGTAAAAACGATGGAGCACGAATTAATCTGTGAGGTCTCGTTAAAAGATTAATAAATCCATTCTTTAATGCTGTTCCCAACTTATTTCTTCCACTCGTATTTTCGATAATTGATCTATTTATTACAATAAATATAAGAATAAAGAAAAAGATTGTGAAAGGTAAAAAATTATTAAAAGAATAAAAACCTTTTATAAATGATAAGAAAATAAGAAAAAAAAAAATAGAATAGAATAGAATAAAAATATCGAAAAAAAGAAAAAAAAACTAGATAAAAACTTTATTTTCAAATAACATACCTATCGACTATAGTTATGAAAGGTGAAACCATGAAAGAGGCAGAAGCTGCCGCAATCAAATCGACACCTAATTTTTTAAAAAATAATTCTTTATTTTTTGTATCAACC